TGGACAACAGTACTGCAGTTGAGGGTACTGAGTAGGGGCCAAGCCTCTCCGTCTCAGGGCTAAGCTGTGAGACAGAGGAGCTCATGGTTTAGAGTCTAGGGATCAAAATTTTCTCCAGCTTTTTTCAGATGTCCCTTACCCCCTTACCTGAAGGGTGAGTCTGAAGGGAAAGGAGGTGATGTTCTCATGATAAGCCTGGAGAGCAGTTTCCCAGTCTCTAACAGACCCTTCCAGGGGACAAGAGCCCTAGGTTCGAGATACTTGAAGAGCAGTTTTCAAAAGGGATATCTCACCTTACATAAAGGACTTCCTGAGAAGATGTTCGCAAGGAACTCAAGGTGCAGATGTCAAAGAGAACATCTAACTTACTAAAAGGGCTTCTTGGCACTGGAACCAACAGTTAAAGGTCAGGAACCACTGGGTACACAGTCTAGGATATGTAGATTGATGTCACAGAGAACCCTCAGATGAATGTAGTCATTCTCGGGGGAGGGGGCTGATGATGACATGGGGGACAATGGTCAGGAAAGCAGAGAAACTATTGGGCCTCAAGAAGTAGTCATCACAATGTGTGCAGATCATTGTAAATGGAAAGAGGAGAGACAGAAAACAGTCTTTTTCCCCCACAGACTAAGCAGTTGACCACTCTGTCCCAAGACTTCAGATCCCACAAGAGCTATGCATAGTTGGAGACCTCCTATTGAAAGGTGTAACACAGCTCTGGTTCCTAGCCACTGGAGGGCTATGGAGTTTGAGAGAAGGAAGGGAGGCCTTTGTTCTACAAGGAACTGGTCCCAGCCAGGAATCTGTAGTTGTCCTTGTTCTTCAGTGGAGTTGTTCAAAGGCCCTCAAGCACAGAGAAAACTCTCAGAGGAACACTAATCTCTCATTGCCAAGGACAGGTGAAAATGCTTTGGAACATGGAAACATGGCCCTATTGGGGAGTTGTTCCAAGTAGGGAGGCTTTCAGTTGTCTCCAAGCTCTTATATAGCACACCAAAGATCATGAGAAAACGGAAGAAGGTATTTGATGCACCCCAGAGTCCACGCAGACAAATGTGGTGTGGGTCAGATTCACTGGTGGTAAAAAGAATTCAATTCATATCAAAGTAGAAAAGATAACCTTACAAACACCTCAAGGGAGCAGGAATGTCCACAGCAAGCTGGTGGCTTGTGTTAAGCAAATGAGGGTAGTTCTGATTGGTCAATGTTCATTCTGTGGGCCTGCCTACTTTTATAAGCCATTCCTATGTGCAACCCAGCCTTGTTTCTTCCCCACAATTCATGATGCCTCAGTGGATTCAGAACCAGAGTCATGGAGGACAGCCTTTGTTTTGAGTGCTTCAGCTTCTGCATTGAGTATCATAAACAGCATCTGAACTATGTAGCTGCTTGGGCTGCAATTAAAGTTGAACCATTGTTGACTTAAGCTAAGACTCCATCCTGAATCTCTTGGCAAACTCCAGTGGCCAGTTTGTATAAAGAAAGTCAGTGTTTTAATAATGCTGGGTTTGGGGTGGAAGCCGAGAAAACTCACTTCAGAAATGGAGGCTTAAAAATCAAAGCTCCTTGTTCTTGCACATCTGCGCAGGGAGACAACCAGTTCATGATCTAAACTGTCACTGAAGGGAGATGGTACAACATTTTAAAAGGATGGGAACACAAAGCAAGGGGGAGCGAAGCAGGCTGTTGCTTTTTTGACACAAGGGGTTGAGCAAGGAAGTAAACAGTGGGTGACTGGACCTTATCCAGGTCACCTGGTTTCAGGACCCTTGACTCAGCTTTTTGCAGTCAGGTCCCCTCTTGGACTTTGGCCAGGAATTGAGAATGATAAGGGAACAAAGGCGTGGAGGAGCTTTTAGGCAAGATGGGCAACACATTTTTGACTTGTGTGCCTTAGTTTAGATAACGGGATAACAGTGGCAGTTTCCCTCGCTACATCCTTTGCTGGTTAACAGATAAACAAGACACATTGAAGAGGCAGGATAAGAGCCTGGGAACAGGAATTCAGATTTGTCCCTGTAGGTAAGACAGAGGTTTTCCCCGAGATGGCTGGACTCAAGCAGCTGTCTCCTAACAATATTGGCTATGGAAATTGAAGTAGGGGCAGTTCTTTGATAATTCTGAAATTAAGTAATGAGCAATCACATTTTCCAATAAAGGCTTCAAAGTTCTGTCATCTCCTAGAAAAACTTTTCTGTTGTTTTTTTTGTTGTGTTTTGTTTTGTATCAAAGTCTTATATACTCCAGGCTGACTTCAAACCCACTGGGTACCAAAGATGATGTTTGTGTCATTGTTATTATTATTAAAATGCTCATTTAGAGACAGGGTTTGGCTGTTGAAAAAGCTCAGGCTGATCTTGAATGATATTTTACATTCATTTGATTGTACAAGCTTACACATGTACAGACCAGGGGAAAACTTTGGGAGTTGGTCCTTATTCAGTGTGTGGGCTCAGGGATCAGACCTTAGGCTTGACAGCAAGAAGCTTGACTACCTGAGCCATCCTACTGGCCCCCAAGGTTGTTACAGTACTCCCCTTTCTCCTGTGTCTGTCCTTTCCCCCAACCCCCAAGTGCTGCAATTACAACCAAGAACAATCATGCTCAGCTTCCAGGTTTATTTATTTTTGAGACAGGGTCTCACCATGTATCTCTGGCTGGTCTGAAACTCACTGTGTGGACAGACCATTCAGGCCTCAAACTCACAAATGCTAGGAATAAAACTCAAATCCTAGGAATAAAAGCATGCACCACCATGCCCAGTTAGTTTCCAGAAATATTTTAAGAGAACATTTTAAATGTACTTTCAGGGTGCTTTTCTGTTCAGTTTTTGGTATAGAGACTTTAAGAATCAGGATCATAGCGTAAATTGGGCATAGTGACATCTTTTACCCAGCACTCAGGAGCTTTAACAACTGAACCATGAGTTCAAGGCCATCCGGGGCTACAAAGTGAGGTACCACTTTAAGAAAAAAAAGCTAATGTATTTTTAATAGATGTAAATGAAATCTATGTATATCAGTGCTAGGAATGGAAAGACTACGGCCCATCACAAAATTGAGAGGGTTGTTTGTTTGCTTTTATGATTCTGAAAGTTGATACCAGGCAAGCATTCTACCAGTGAGCTGTGTGTCCAGTCTTCCCTCCCCTCCTGGGTTTTTTGTTTTATTTTTTTTGGTTGATGGGGGGTTGTTTCCAACCAGGGCTTCTCTGTGTAGCCTTGCTGTTCCTAGAGCTCTCTCTATAGACCAGGTTGGCCTCAAATTCAGAGACCCACCTTCCTCTGCCTCCTGAGTGCTGGGATTAAAGGTGTGTGTCACCACTGCCTGGCTTTTGATGCAAGGCCACCCTAAATTTCTCAAACAGGCCTCCTGCCTGAGCCTCCTGAGTAGGTGGATTATAGGCATGTGCTATCTTACCTGGCTAAAATATATATATATACACATATATATATTTCATAAATATAAATATTATAAATATATGTAAATATATTGGCAAGAGTGTTTTATTTCGAGAAAACCTGCATGCAGGGGTCAAACCATTAAAAAGGATGGCAACCCTAGACAAAAATTCACAGACCTTTTTATAGGAAATCAGGAGAATTCTAGCAAGGGTTACTCATTGGTGGGTGCTGGGGAAGTTACAAGGCTGGATTCCTCTTTGGCTTCGGTCCAGGTGGTCTGGTCGGTGGGCTGCATTCCTGTGCCATGAATGTTTAACTACAGGATGAGATAAGGCTGCCCAGCACAGATGCCTTATCCTAAGACAAGATATTTTCCCATTCTTGTGGTTATCTCCAGGCTGTCCCTTGAGTAGGGGATTTTATGGTCTTGTTCCTGCAATTGGTAACCTATGGCCTAGTTCCTGGGCCCGATGATTTTTTTTCAAGTCAGGCCCCGTTCTAAAATAGAGACAAAATGGAGAGTCCTCTCAGTTCCATGTGATTTTGTCATGTGCAGGTGAATGTGTGCCTGTCTGTTTGTCTGGTGCGCCTCCTGCTATCTTTCATGGCCTCGCCCACCAAGGAGGCGGCTCTCTCAGCTAGAGGCTGACTCCCATCTGTGTTATACTGCCCCTTTGACTCTCAGGAATAGAAATAATATGCACCCTCTAAGATTGCCTTTTTTTCCCTCAGCATAGTCCCTTTGAGAGCCACCTAAGTCATCTCAGATAGCATTTTTGTTTGTTTGTTTTTGATGAAAAGTATTTCATGGTGTGGTTGCACTGCTTTAACCACACACCCACTGAAGGACATCTTGTAGGAGTTTTTGTGTGAATGGCTTTATTTTTCGGGCATGAATGCCCGCTTCACAGTTGCTGGGTCATCTGGTGAGTAGATGTTCAGCTTTTTAAGAAACTGCCAGATTAATTGGCAGAGTAGCTGTTTGAACAGGATCTAGTTTCTCTACACATCTTTGCCAGCATTTGGTGTCTCTGGCTATTACTGCAGCTATTTCTTTATAGTTATTTCTGATGTCCTTTCATGGTTTTTGTTTGTTTCCTGTTGTGGTAGAATAGTCCCTTGCCTATGGTAGCTGACTTCAGAGGACACTTAAAAATGACAGTACTGGGCTATTTAGGGCTCAGCCTTTATGGAGCACTGTCTCACCTTGGATGACATTTTTCTGTAATTGCTGACCTAAATGCAGTTGGGCGATTCATCCCAAAGCAGACGTTTCTATCTGTTGGGTGAACACTCAGATAAGAGTACAGGTTAATAGCTATGGGTGACAACCATGCTGGCCAGGGAAGAGGCATTGGTGCACATTGTTGTCCTCCAGGAAAGCTTCTCCCAGGCTTCCTGAAACTGCTTGCTCAGAGATGATAATCTATCTCCTTTTCCAGTCAGTTTGCAACCTTGGTTTTTAAATATACAGAACAAGCCTCTTTGCCACAGTCATGGGATTCCCCAAGATTGTCTTCAACATCAAAATCAGCGCCTGCTGGCTCTCCTCTTCTGCATCACAATTGACTTGTTTTTCTGTTCTGTTCTACAGAGGCAGAAGACAGGTGAACCAGTGAGGGGATTCAGGGATGACTGGTGTGGACACAAGAAACCAATGGTCACAGAGGAGAGACAGTGCACTCCAAGGTAACCCTCGCACAGACCCCGAGCAAAGCAGCAAATCCCATCTCTGCACTCCTGATTAGGCAACATTGTGGGGGCCGTGGGCAGCAGCCTCCACTTTCCTGTTTTTTCCAGAAGTTCTGTGCAGTGTCCTTCTTCAGCTGCAAAGTCAGCTGGTTTCTGCAACTTCCTTTCTGTGTCCAAACAGTTTTGATCCTCTGGCTTCTGCAGATTCCAAGACAGGTGAGCACCAGCAAATTTCTGGTTCCCCTTTGCTAGGGAGGTGAGGCTGCTAGGGTTCTAGTTCTGGATAACCCAATGGAGCACCCAATGTCACTGTCAGTTCTCAGTTTATCAGAGCCATCTGGTTGCATTTGAGGAATTGACATTCCAACCAGAGCCTTATAGCATTACAATCAGTCCTGATTTTTTGAGATATTCACTCTTTGTACCATTTCTTTTCTTTCTTTTTTTCTCTCTACCAGGGATTAAGCCTAGAACTTCATACATGTTGGTCACAGACTCTATACCACTGAGCTGTGTCCCTCAGCAATCTTTTCAGCTTCTTCATAGGATATTTTAGAAAGCAAATATTTTAGTTTTGTTGGAGTCCAGCATATCAATTTTTGCTTTATGTACCATGCTTTTGTCAAAGTTTTTCATCCCGAAGATTTTGTATTATATTTTTTTCTGAAACAATAAATTGTTTTACAACAGAAAAAAAAAAAAAAAGTGTAAGTGTCAATGGACAACATATAAGGAATACTGTCAAGTTTTATGTCCATGTCCTGATTCCTTTCTTAGAGTAGGTGGCTTCCCTTGTGAACTCTGTACAGGTGTACAAAGCCTCCCCACACACAGAGGCCCCACACTAGACAGCTGGCTCTGAGCACATTTTGACAGGCATGACTTCGGAATGGTACCTCTCTTTCCAGGCTAGCGTGGCATTTCAGTTTGCAGTGAACGAACCTGTGAGCACCCACTTGAGGGACACAGTATGGCCGGTTGGTTCCCTAGTCTACTTTTTTTTTAGATTTTTATCCCCCTTTAATAGAGCTTACCCCTCCCGAGGCGGGGGGTGGGCAGAGCAGAAATTTTTTCTTTAGGAGTTTTCAGTTTTTAATGTGCTATTTTTTGTTTGTATGATCAAGTGCAACTGAAGTTTTATGCTAGGCCCCAGTAGAAGCACCCTAACACTTAACTCTCCTTTATTCAGTTGTTTCCTGCTTGGTCCCTGAGCATTTGTTACATCTCCATTTTGTTATTTTCTGTCTGTAAAAGGCCCAGCTGAATACTTGTTTGTTTGTTTGTTTATATACTGGGGATAGAGCTCAGGATTTACATAATGAATGCTCTACTCTTGAGCTTCATTTCCCAGCCAAATATGTGTCACCGTTGTTGTAGTTTGTGTCTGTGTGTGTGTGTACATACATACACACATGGAGGGCAGAAAACAACCTGTGGGACCTTCCACCTCTAGGACCCAGGAACTGAGTTCTCCCAGGGGGCTTGGCAATAGGCACCTGTTGCAAATGGCAGTGGTGCTTTGAATGAGTGTGCCCCCCATTCTCTAAGATGCTTGAATTCTTGGTCCGCAGCTTGGGGATGTTTAGGAGGCATAGCATTGTTGATGGGAGTATGTCACTGGGGGCAAGCTCTGACAGTGTAAAGACTTGTACCACTTTGAGTTTTCTCTCTCTTCTTCCTCGTTGAGGTTCAAGATATGAACCCTTAGCTTCTGTTCCAGGTGTCATGCCTACTGCCAGGCTTTCTTGCCATGAAAGACTGCTGTCCCTCTGGAACCATAAACCAAAATTAACTCTTTATTCTGTAAGTTTCTTTGACCGTGGTGATCCAGCAAGTTTCCTGTGATCCTTCATCACAGCAATAGAAAAGTAACTTAAACAGTTCCTTCGCCCACTGAGCCATCTAACGGATCCCTGAAAATATATATTTAGTCTGATTTCTTAGAACCATTCCTACCAAAGAGGCTGGGTCCTACCATGAGAAAAAAATGGCTGTGTCTCCCACCCCAACCCCCATACTGACATTCACTGACATTGACTTTAACCTGAGTGTTGAGATGATGGTTGTGAAGAATGGCCAAGTAGAGGTTTAGTTCTCATTTAGTAAAATTTGAGGTGACAGGGATATTGTTTGAAGTATTTTTATTGCTATAAATAACATTGAAATGAAAATGCATGTGTTGCTGAAGTTTTTAATGATAAGAGATGAGCATATGATAATAGTTAAAGCCTAAAATATTCTAAGTATCAGTATTACTAATAAAAAAAAAAGTAATGAAAAGGGATTTAGCCTTTGAAGTGGAATAGGAAAGCTAGTTTCTGACATGTAACTGGAAAAGTATGCAACAGCTGATTTCATTCAGGCCATTGCAGTTGGGAGAATGTTCTCTAATAGGAAACCTCTCAGAGAGGATGGCCAAAGAAAGAAGGGATGATGTGACTTGTGGTCCCACCTAATTTTGTGGCTGAGGCATGAAGACGAAATTCTGCAACTTGCCCAAATTCCATCTCAAAAAGGTTTGGATGGTGGAGGTCAGTCCCATCTGGACCTAAGATACAAGACAGGGCTTTCAGGTTAGTTGAGTGTTAGCATATATAAGGTTCTTAAGTGTTGCTGCTTACATGAGTACGGAAAAGTTCAGCAGTGTCAGATGGAACGAAACTACCAGGATCTAGATAATCGGGTTGTACAGAATACACACCACAGCTTGAAAACAGTGCCCAGAGGCTGGGAAGATCATGTGGTAGTTAACAGTGCTTGCACCTCTCGCAGGGGACCTGGGTTCAGTTCCCAGTAGCTGCGTCTAGTCACCCACAAACGCCCAGAAACCACAGCACCAGGGGATCTGATGCCCTCTTCTGGCATCTGCTGTTATCGTAGTGATGTTGTACAAATACCCACACAGATACTCACATACACATACATGAAGATAAAAATAAACCTTAAAATAGTGTTCAGAGAAGACTTAACCGAAAGTCTTGTTCATAAATTTAAAATCTATAGCTTTGTTAACACTTAGCCACTCTATTTTAGTTTCCTGCTGCAAACTGTGTCTGGTGAGGTGGTCCACAGTGCTAAATGAGAAGAAGCAAGCCATTAAAGGACTGAGGTGAAACCAGAACTCCTGAGGGGATGGCAGAACTCTCTGAGTCTTAAACTAGCCTGGTTTACATAGTGAGTTCCAAATCAGACAGGGTTACATAGTGAGACTGTGCTGCAAACAGCCAGTCAAGCAAACTAAAAGAAGAAAAGCAATCAAACAGAAGAGCAAAAAAGGTATGCATATACTGAACAGACATACATTCAAGCAAAACACCCATACGCATAAAATTTCATAAAGAAGATGACAAAGTCAGAGCCCATGAATGGGCTACACTGTAGAAGGGAGGCTCGGTGGGAATGGTCACCTTACAGCCTTTGCTCTGAGGAGGGAACTTAAACATGTGCTGGGCAGCTGGATATGAGTTATGGTGGGGAAGGGGAGTCCATGGGTTTTGTTTAGGAGTGTGTTTTAAGAAGACGAAATTGGGAGCCGTAGAGATGGTCTGGTGATACAGAGCACTGGTTGCTCTTCCAGATTTGACTTGATTCACAGTAGCCACATGGCAGTTGTCATAATAGTTACTGTTCTATTGCTGTAAAGAGACAGCTAACTTACAATGGCTTGACCTTTTGAAACCTCAAAGTCTACGCCCAGTGACACACCTCTGCCAACATGTCCATGCCTCCTAATTCTTCCCCCAAACAATTCTGCCAACTGCTGACCAAGCATTCAAATGTATGAATTTTTGGGTACCATTCTCATTCAAAGCACCATAACAACTAACATCCATTGTAACTTCGGTTTCAGGGGATCCCACCCTCTCTTCTGACCACTGTGAGCATCAGGCATACACATGGTTCATAGACATACATGCAGGCAAAGCACTCACACACATAAAAGTAACATTTTACTAAAGAAGCTCAGGGTTATTATGCATTCCTGTGGGAAATGCATATTGGAAAGGGTTGTTGTTGGTTTTTGTTGTATACTGAAAACACATGAATTGATGAGGGAATCAGCCAGCTGTCACAACCTATTTAGAGTAAGATAACTATGAATTTGTATGGAGAATGGGAATATTAAAATAAGTTTACAAAAAGAAGCAAAAACTCCCTTTCCTGCACTGTGAGAGGATCCTTCGCATGCCTGTACATAAGAAGTGTGTGTGTATGGCGGGGGTGGGGTTGGTGCTAAGCTAAGCTCTCTATATTTAGGGGGTTTAAGGTGGCCCAGAAGATTCCCAGAGGCCCCAGGATTCTGTTGGAAGAATTTCCAGTCCTTTTTTTTGTTTATGCCAGGGACAGCATGCTTCCTCTGGCATTGACTGACTGCCCATATTCTCTGCTCCAAAAGCTGTATCTATCTCTAAATGTGTCATGTGTATCTCACCCTTGGTCTCCATCATGCTAGAGAATCCTAGAACAACCTGAATGTCTAAATCTATATCTAGCTACAAATACAGTCTGCTTACTTACAGTTGCATTTCCTTTTCTTCTTGACTCACTCAAAAATGTTTTCACTTAGTTACAGAAGTCATGACAAAGGATCTTAATATTATTTTCATACAATATGATTGTATAATTTTAAGTTGGAACTTAATAGTCATTAGGTATATAGCAATGTAACTTCAGGTTTTCATCTATAAATCGAAGTGAAAGTTAAAGAATTTGCTTTATCCCAGTGGTTTTGAACTAGGACATCTGACAATGTCTGCAGACATTTCTAGTCATCAGAATCTGGTGGGTGAATACTGAGAGTGTTTGGTTAGAAGAGGGTAGAGGTTTGGAAGGGGTGCGAGGTGGGAGGGGTTGCTTACCAGCCTGTAGTGTACCTGCAGCTCCCCACAGAGAGGAATCTGGTTCTACCTTCGATAAAACCAAGACTGAGAAATTAGACAGTCACCAAAAAGTATTAGAGGAAAGCTGTTGTTTTTCACTTGGGCCTGGTGATGCTGGCCCATAATCCCATATACTTGGCTGTCTAAGGTAGGAGAATCATAGGTTCAAGGTTTCCCTGAATTACAGAGTAAGATCGAGGTCAACCTGCTGCTCTGTAGGCAGCTTACAGAGACCCCCACCTCAAAACAGAAATTAAAAGACAGGGCTGGGATGAAACTCAGATGCAGAGTGCTTGCCTCATGTGCCCAAGATCTGGGTTCAGTTCTCAGCAAAACACACCCACACACACCCACAACCACACACTCAAAAGTAAAATGACACTACACAGAGTTTTATGCTCTTATATTTGCATGTAAAGCATACATTTCATCATTGTGGCTTTAAAGTATTGTTTTAATTTTCATTGGAAGACTTCAGCAACTAACATTACCTTTAACTTGAGACTTGCTAAGTGAACACAGTGTTCACTTGCAATACGGCTTTAACACTCATAAATTACTTTTTCTGTTTCAGGCTTTGCTGAGGAAACATCTTAGAGATTCGTTGTATTTCTAAACCTTCAATGTTTACATCTTGTGGTTATTGACCCTCTTATGAGATACATTTTGGAAATCAAAATGGAAGGCGCCCAAGAAGTTTTGGACCAGTTATACAAGAAAGTACTTCTTGGAGCCACCCTTGAAGATGATATCCATAGTTACATCTTTTATCTCAACCCAGATCTCTCAGGACAAGCTGGTCATACAACATCCTCTTTAGCTCAGGCAAGTGTCAATGGTGTGCTTGATGCCATGCCAGGCCCGCATGGGCCATCTTCCAGTGAGGTGACTGCCCCTCCTGAAGCACAGGAGTGTATGAAGAGGCAGTTTCACGTGAATAAGGCCTGGGAGGTGAAGCTCCTCCAGTTAACAGTGGTCCATGCAATACTGAGCCGAGTGCTGTCTGCCGAAACTGAGACCCACACAAAGGAGGGGTACAGAGAGCTGATTGAAGTCCTTCTGCAGTCAACTGAAATTGATTCCAAATTGGTAAGGTACTTTTTAAAAGATTTTGATACTAAGTGAAAATGTTTAAGGCTTCAGCAGTGTGATGAACTGTGTCTGTTTTGCTGTAGATCTGCATGCTCCAGGATTCTGATAAGTTGTTGTCTCACATGACTGCGAAGTGCCTCGCATCACTCCTTTATTTCCAGCTGAGAGAGAAGGTCAGATAAGCCATCACGTTACTTATTTCCCTTATAGTGTTTTAAAGTTGCTCATTGGCAGTCCAGGGAGTGCCTCACCTGGGCTACAAAGCAGAGTTGGCCCTGTTATGGGGAGGGAGGACTGTTACAGGTGAGCCAGCCTGGGCAGGAGAGCAGAAGGGCAATCCCAGCCCCCCACCAGCTGCAGCATTTGGGAGTTTAGGCCCTACACCTTACCTCGGAAGCACAGTAGAGCTGGCCCTGATGATGTGGGCATGAATGAGCCAGCCCCGAGAGCATGAGAGCGGAGAGCTGGCTTTGCCCCTTACTGGTGCAGCATTGGATGAGCTGAGCAGGGCTGGAGTGCTTGCCCTGCCAATGTGGCTGCAGGAGAGCTGGCTGACCAGCTCAGAGACCTCTCAGGCCCAGGGGCTGATCCTCCCCAGCATCCACCCCATCGATGAACTGCTGAAGCACGTGAAGAGGCTGGTCCTGCAGATCCAGAACTGTAGGATCTCCAGTACACAGAGCAAGAACATCGTATCTGAGAGGAGTCCCAGGGACGATCCAGTATAGATAGTGTAGCAGAAGCCAGAGGCCTCGAACCGGAACAATGGCTCATTGCAATGAACATTGCAAGTAAGGATGTGTGGACAAAGGGTATACTTTGGATGCACTGTGACACTACAGCTTCCACAATGAGATTTTTTTTTTTCTTTTGGATGGGAGGTTGCAAGAGTAGAGGATGGGTACAAGGGGAAGGGGACATGAGTAGGATTAGAGTGCATGATGTGAGATTCACAAAGAACCATTCAAAAGTTTTTTTAAAAAAGTTGTTCCTTTACATTGACTTTATTCCTTCAAATATTTGAATGAATAAGGTATTTGCACACATAATAATGTGCAAATCCAAAAACATAAGAATGAAATAGGACCCTACCTCAAAAAATAGGGGGAAAGTAATTAAGGAGGACAGCTGAGGCTGCCTTGTACACGGACACACACATGTATACACATGGCTGCAAATACAGATTCAAGCATCTGTTGACTTTCTGCTCTGATTACTTGTTTCTCAACATAACACTTTAAATATGTAACATGTTTATAGTAGAGTATTTGGAAAGTAGAATAGAGTTTAAAGAAAAGAAAGACTTACACATCATTGTCCCACCTGTAAATAACATGGATATTTTCATGGTTCTTTTTGACTCTGCACTTCTATGCTCTGTTGACTCTCCTGTCTTAAAAACTATTTGAATTTTTCCTTCGTTTGTCAAATATTAGCATACTTTTTTCATGCAAACAACTACACAACATTTTGTACATTGTCTTGTGTGATATGTAATATTTAATTACAAACAAAATAATTTTAACTACTCTTGTGTTTTCCTTTTGATTTAATTTTTATTTTATTTATCTTGTAGACAACGTTAAGTCATCCCTGGATCACTTTTTGCGAGAAGCATCTCTCTGAATCCCTGGAGAGTGCTGAAGCAGTGCATTGCCTGTGGATCCTTACCGCTGTGATAAAGGAAATCCTTAAAGATACGCATCCACAGAGAACAGGTAAAGATGGTCCTGTCTGTAAATGACCATCGCCTCTCTCAGCAGCTTATGTGTGTTGGAAAATAAAGTGTACGTTATTCCTCAACTCTCCTACATATGGAAAAATGCAGGAATTTTGCCCCTGATTTTTTTATTGAACATAACCTTGGAGTATGTGCAGTGTATGTGTTTGGTGTGTGGACGTGTATGCTTGTAGAGGCCAGAGCCAATGTTGGTGTCTTCCTCCATCACTTTCCACCTTATTTGTTGAGATAAGAGCCCAGCAACTGGGCTAGGCTGGCCAATGAGCTCCATTTCTACCTCCCAGCACTGGGCTACAGATGTGTGCCGCCACATCTGTCTAATTCAGAATGTCATGCTTATTCAGCAGGCACTTTACCAAATGAATGAACTGTCTTTCCAACACTGAAGATAACTTTTTAAAAAAGAAATTAAGACCTAAACATTAAATATCTCTCATATATTCTGGTACTATTTATATTTATAAAGCATGTGTTAACTTTTAGTAATTAGCTGTTTATCTGGGTATCCTCATTTGGTCTTACTAGGAGTAATTATTCTTGTTTGTTTGTTTGCTTGCTTGTTTGTTTCGAGACAGGGTTTCTCTGTGTAGCCTTAGCTGTCCTGGAACTCACTCTGTAGACCGTGATGGCCTCAAACTTCTAGAGATTCACCTGCCTTTGCCTCCCAAGTGCTGGGGTTAAAGGCATGCACTACCACTGCCCAGCTAAAAGTAACAATGCTTAAACTCGTTTTTTATTTATCTTAAGAACTAACGTATATACAAATTAAATTGTAAGATTTTGTTTTAAGAAAGCTTTTGTTTTTCCTGTTACTTATAACTACTATCTTTATAATTACAGAAATTCTAAAGCAGCTCTTGACTCCTCTTGATATTACTTTTGAAGTGTTCTACACTTCCTTATTTTCTCAGCATTTTGGAGACTTCCGGAATCCCTCTCACATAGTCAACAGCCTCGTGTGCTGTCTGGAGCTGCTGGAGCTCCTCGCAGCCTCCAGAATCCACCTAAAACTGCACTTTAAAAGCCAAAGGATCTTATTTTTGAAACCCTGTGCTCTCAATATTCTTGCCTGGCCTATCCCGGCTTTTGTTAAGAGGAAATTGGTTATACTCATCAAAAAGTGCCTTCTCTGTAAAGTGGGAGAAGATCTCTGCTGTGGATCTGTGCCCTTTCTGATATCACCAGAGCATCTTCTGGATGGTGACATGCTGGCTTTAGCTGATGCACTTCTGCATGCTGTGCACTTGGGGTTGTGGAAGGCATTGTCTATTCCTAGAAAGCCTTCCTGCTTTGGAGGGGATGAAGTTCAGCCTGGATGCAGACCCAGGTCTGGTCCTGATCACGTGACCCTAAGAGCAGCAAGCTTGATTACAGTGAAATCCTTAGAAATCAAGTTCCAGAACTGTACCTCAGCAAATGAAATGAAAGGTAATTCTCCAGATTCATGTTTTATTCAAAGTACTATACAATTAACTGTTCGCTTAAGAAAAGTGATTCGTGCTTATTGAGTGCTAGTGTCGTTTCACTAGTTTAGCTATATTTTCCCTATTAAATTTAGTAAATGCTTTTTTAAATGGAGAGGGAGTTGCGGGGGATTGAAATTTCAAAAAGCTTGTCAGCTTTTTTTTTTAATAATTAATATGTATAGGATAATGACAAAAAATAGTTGCCTTTTGAGTCACTACCAAGCAAATGGAAGTCAGTTTATATTTAATTACATTATTCATAAAAGCAGTCTGACTACTTGTGTTCATTATTGATAATGCTGTTTTGTTGAAACTACTATGGGAAGTTCTGTCAATAAAGGAATTGTGCACACCTCGAAGGTGACAAGTCCAGTTGAAAGTGCCTGATTTTCAGTGTGTGTGTGTGTGTGTGTGTGTGTGTGTGTGTGTGTGTGTGT